AAAGTTGGGAGGAAAAGTGGCGCTGCCGGGCGCCGTCGCGGGCGCTGAGCGAGGAGAAGTGGCGGCAGTTAGCCCCGCGGCGCTTCTCTTTCCGGGAGGCGCTGGGTCCCTCCACGCCGGGCTCCCACGTGCCCTGACCCGAGCGCCATTCGCAGGTCCCACAGCAGAACAATAGGCGATTTTGCGCGCCCCCGACGCTCATGGTACGGCCGGGATGGATGAGGGCCCCCGTGCCACCCCCTCCCTGGCCCTCCTGGCCCGGGAGAGCATGCCCGAGGGTGGGGCGCGGGAACATCTGGCCGCTTGGCCCGCCTGGGGCATCTGCGCCCTGAGCCCTGGTGTGCGTTTTCAAGCTTTCCAAAGAACCAGATGGAAGCGCAATGTTCCACCTCTGCCACCCGTGTCTTGGTGCCAAGTAGGGGCGATTTCAGAGCCCAAGTAACCCACAGTGGGTGCTTGGTGACCTCAGTCCGTGAAGGCTCCGGTGCAGGAAGGCTGCTGGTGTTGAGCACAGCCAGTTACAATGTTACCCAACATGCAACCGCTAGGCAGGTGCCTACTCACAGGGGGGGAGGATTCTCAAGCTCCAGTCCCTGCAAGGTTGTAAGGTACTCAGGACCTGGGGCTAGGCCTGGGGCAGTAGGTGAGCTCAGGCCCCTCCCCGGAGACCTGGGCTCTAGCCACCCACGCCCTGCTGGGTGGGGCGGGTGAAGGGCCAGGCCCTTCCCAGCCCTTCCCAGCCCAGAGGGCTATGCATTGGGGTCCTGTGACAGTGACACCGGGGACATCCACTGGGCGTCTCTGGGTGTCCACAGGTTCCCTGGAGTCTTGGTGAGAGATGGTTTGGAAGGCAGACTGGCTGCTTCTTGACATTGGGTGACCTTGGACAAATGATTTCTCCTTGCTCAGTTCCTTTTGGAGATGGAGTGCACAGCAGACCAGGAACACACTGGGGTCAGCTGCTATCTTCTCCCTGTCTCCCCGCTCAGGGCCTCCCAGAAGCTAAGGAGGCTGGTGCTGGTGCTGGCTGCTTCTTTGTCATCTGGGGGATTTGTCCCAGGTGGAGTTTGGGACGGTGAGGATGCTGAGCTTCCCCAACGGTCGCTCAACTGTGGTCGCCCAACTCTCGATTCTCAGCCAGGCTCCGGCCTTTTGCCAGAGAGCGGGTCCTCAGCCCTCAGCTGCCCCAAGGCAGCTTCTGCATTCACTGGGGGATGACCTTTTGCCTCTGGGAAAATATGGGGCAGGCCAGTGCACAGGGAAGGAAGTTTATCTGGCAGAGGGTGTGGTGTGGGCCAGAGGAGGGGGAGGGGAGCATTGCCCGGTTGGAGGGTCTGGGAAGGGGGCTGCAGGAGAGAAACTGAAAGGTAGACCCACCAGCGCGGCCACTAGGCTGCTAAGTAAAATGTGACAAACAGTGCCAAGGCCTTTTGCCTCTGGTCTGTCCTGGCCCCTTCCTTCCTGGCCCCGGTGTTTTCTTTTTTAATTGCAAGTGTCTGCCTCTGGAGCCAGGAGTCCGGCCAGAGTTGCAGCCCAGGAGCACAGTGTTGACACTTGGTTGGCGTTCAGTAAATATCTGGAGATGAAGGAGGAATGCGGTAGCAATGGGCTGGTAGCTGAGCTGGGACACTTGTAAACCTTGCAAATGGCCACGGGCCGTTTTTTTTCTGTGAGCAGTGGTGAGCACCAAGTGAGGGGGGAAAGGTTTTTTATTTACTGTGGATGCCCTGGTAGAGAAGGCTCCTTGGAGGTGGGAGGGCTTTTTTGATAGGCAGTTAAAGTCTGAAATCTTTGTCCAAGCCCAGCATACTGTGAAACGTTGGCTTGCTTAAGGACTATTAAAAAGACTTTTTTCTCCACATCAACCATTTGCCAATACTCAGGCGAATCGGCAAATCTCTAAAGAGACCCCAAACTGAGCAATAAGTGTTTGAGTTGGTCTTTCCTTAGGATAACAGTGAGCGGGTATCTGCACCAGCCTAAGCCTGGGACAGTCTCTGAGGTAGGTACAGATGCGGCCCATTTTACAGAGAGAGAAACTGAGGCTCCTGGATGCTAAGTCACTTGCTCAATGTTGCAGCCCGTCAGTTGCGGAGCCGCCTCTCAAACATAGGCCGACGCCTTCCAAACCCACCTCAGTCACTATGTTGCCATTTTCTTTGCTACTCTGTTTCCTATTTCTAGAGACCCACTAAGGAAATACCTGCCTTCTGTGAAACATAGGTTTTGCAAAGTGCTCTACAGCAGCTTGTAAACTATCCCAGTGGCTTTATCAGTATGAACGTGGATGGCGTCGGGGTTAAAGCTCAGGGCGTCTAGGTTTTCACTCGGCTGCCTGGCCAGGGTGGGGAGAGGAGACCCCGGAAAGCGGGTCCCAGATCCCAGTGGGTACATTTTCTTCAGGTCTGATGTGTGTTTGAATTTTGGTTCCAAGTGTGCAGGAAAGAAAAAGCCTGGAAAAAAGTCCGCTTGAGGAAACACACACACACACACACACACAGGAGCTGTCGGGGGAGGGGACAGGGGACAGGGGACAGGGAGGGGTCCTGGGTACTGACAGGAGCCCTGGGCCCGTGGTTTCCAGCTTTCAGTAATTGCTATGGTGATGACTGGCTGTAGACGCAGCTCCCCAGGAATTCATCTGACGTCAGCGCCGAGGGATTCCCATGTATGGTAAAGTGTGTAAATATGGAGGCGGCAGCCTTCCAGACTGGCATTTCCAGTGCTTCCCCAGGGCCGAAGGCTGCGGCCCAGTCCTCAAAGCGACCAAGAAGGTTCACAGGGGGGCAGCTCGGCAGCCAGCGCCTCCCTGCCCAGGGTGCCCAGGGTGCCCAGGGTGCCCAGGGTGCCCAGTGCTCTTTATCTGGGATGTCCAGGATGGGGCTTCCTGAGATGTCAGTTGCAAACAACTTTTTTTTTTTTTTTTTTTTTTTAAAGAAAAGAGTGCTACCTTGTTTTAAAAAATTAAAGAGAAATCACTGAGACCTTCTCAGGGATCACGATGGTTACCCCTCCAAGTTGGCATCATTCCAGATAAAAGCAAAACAACTTGATCTGTTGATTACTCCGGGAGGCTTATTATAATATAGGATTTCCTGTGACAGGCTTGAACCGCTGAAACAGGAGACCCCGGTGTTGACCTGGGTTGACCTTCAGATTTCTGAACTCCGAGGGGGAAGAGCTGTGCTGTACAAGGCGTTAGGGGGCCAGCAGGAAGGGAAGAGACTCAGATAACCCCGCCTCTGTCACTCGCAGTCCCACAAGGGCCAGGGGACAGGGCTTTGGAAAGAGAAAACTCACAGCGGAGAGAGCGAGCTGAGCTAGAGGGACCGTCCGAGCTGGGGGGCCACGGGGCGGGGAGAGATGCCGGTGAAATGCTCAGAGAAGCAAGTTGTACTCAGGGTTCCAAAGAAATCCTGGGGAGATGCAGGGATAAGGCCGGGCCTACGTCTCCACGTTGGCCATTTGTCCCCTGCCAGTGACCATTACTTTCAGGGGTCATCTTCCTGGGCTCTCCAGTGTCACCTCCAAGACATGGGCCCTGAGCCCTGACCAGCCAGCCCCCTCCTTCCCTCTCTCCTCTCCTTGGCTGCCATCCTGACCCGGGGGCATTCGGGAAGAGGCTGGACTGTGCGTACCTGGCCGGATACCACAGGGCTCAGGTAATGTGAGAGCACGTTTCTACCTCAACAAACGCCTGACAGGTCTCAACCAGACCGCGTGGGTGGGGACACGCACTGTGCCCAGAAGTCGCTCTTTGGCTGGAGGGAACTTGAGCTGTTGGACTGGGAGCGATGGGGATTTTCCACTGGACGTAACGGCCTGGAGTGGTTTGTCGCTTTACTGGTTTGACGAGAAGGGGGTCTCCTTCAGGCACTTAAGGACTGTCCACCTCTGAGGTTTCTCGGACTCGGAACATGGCTGAACCTGTCATCTCAGCCTGGCCTCTCAGAGACTTGGGGTGAACAGGAGTCTGTGCCCTGTGTCTGCTCCTGAAGGGAGACCCCCTCCAACTGGGCGGCTGGGCTCAAAGGACTAGCCCAGCTGAAAGACATCCTGGGCCACCTCGGATCTGTCCTGTCGAGACTAAGGATCAGGGTACAGTTCTCAATGGGATGGTGTGGCAGACAGACACAAGCTGGTTGCTTGTGAGATGAGGCCGATCCATCCTGGGCTTCTAGCGTCCAGCCCTGGGGGCCCTGACACTTTCGGTAAAGAGCTTCCAGGTAATTCCAGCCCTTCTGCAGAACATCCGAGCCGTTTCTGTTGAGATATTAACAGAGGAAAGCAGGAGAAACCAGGACTCGGACTGCAGTTCCCAGCAGGGATGCAGCTCTGATGGGACTCACTGTAGACCTGCAGGTGGCTGACGTGATAGCAGAAGGCAGCCCTGCCCCCCGGTCATCCCACCCACGTACAGAGGGCCTGGGGCCAGAGACACAGCCAGCCAGCCTGCAGGTGGCCAGGTGAACCCCAAAGAAGGGCAGGTCCCAGGTCCCGTGTCCCAGGCTCGTGCGCTGGGCTGACGGAGAAGCCGTGAGTTTCTGGTTCTTATTTGGACAGGGAATGTTCCTTCTCAGGCCTCACTGTTCCAGATAGAGACCCGCTGGGAGGGGAGCAGACATCTGGCTGGAGGGCTCACCTGGCCAGTCCCTTAGCCGGGAGCAGCAGAGCGTGCTCGGAGCGCGTGCCCGGCACGTGGCGGTCACAGCGCTATGGTCTCCTTTAATCCTCAGAACTAAGACTCGTCCCACCCAGACAAGCAAACTGGAGCTCAGAGTGCAGAGGAGCCGGCCCACAAGCCTTCAGCTAGGAAGGCTTGAACCCAGACACCATCTTCCTAACTGAGCTGACCCCCCGGGAACTCTGATCTCAGCCTCCTGCAGCAAGGAAGAGGGAGGAGGCTGCCAGTGAGGCAGACTGACACCCGGTACTGTGCTTGACTGGCTGTCCTCCATGCTACATGGTTTTGCAGCCCTGAGCGCTTGCTCAGCCAGGCAGCCGGCCCATGGAGCCTCCAGGGCCGAAAGGGGCCAAAGGGACTGTGGGGCACGAGGACTGTCCCTGGGGATCAGGGAGCTCAGGCCCTGGGAGGTGTCTGAGGAGGGCACAGAGAATCAGGTGCTGTTGGAGAAACCCTACCTACGGGTGTGTCTGTGATGTGCGTAAGCTGCGGTTGGTCCAGACCTGGAAAGGGGCAGCTGGCCACATGCAGTGGTCAATAGCCAGGTGGGAAGGGACAGCAGGCCCCCAGCTCCAGCCCCCCACTTTGTGCACACCCCAGCTCTGCACAGGCACAGCTGAGCTCTTTCTACGGCCAGGCCCTGCATGGAGCACTGTAGGGGTGGGCGCGGTGATTAAATCACCAGCCCCCATCGTGACTGAGGCACAGTAAGCAGGTGCCTGAGCTGGCAAGTGAGTGAAGGCTGTGCTATGGGGGCTCTCAGGGAGGCTTGATTTTCTCAGGCACTAGGGAGCCACTGATGGTTTTAGAGCAGGGGCCCTGGCAGCGATGCAGGGATGGATTGGGACGGAGATTCCCAAAGCAGCTTCCCAGTAATCACTGTCTCCAGGGATGCATTCAGCTGTAGAGTAACTGGCTTCAACAGTAAAGGGAATTTGTTGGTTTCCTTAACTGGAAAATTCAGAGAGAGCTTGGCTGAATTCGGTGACTCGATGAGGTCACCACACACTGGGTTTCTTTGTCTCTCAGCTCTGTGCGCCCCACTCGCTGTCAGCCTCATCCTGGGCCTGCCTGGCCCCTTGGGGACAATGGTCCAGAGCCCCTGGCTCCCCTGTCCTTGCTCAGGAGGAGAGGCTGCTTCCAGGAGGTTCTCTCAGAAGATCAGGGTATTTTTTTCTCCTGAGCACTTGACAGTATAGATTCTGCCTGTGGGGACCTGACTGGGGGACTTGTGTTCTCTGAACTCTCGTTCGTCTGCCGGTTTTGCTCCAAATGAACATCTGTGAGGTTCATCCGTGTGGGGCTTGTATCTCACGCTTACTTGTGCCCCCCAGGCAGCACTTGCAGGAGGATTTGGGGAGGGGGCCAGAGGAAGTGCCCCCCACCAGGGCTGGGCGCCCCCTGCAGGAGCCGGGTCTCCTGACCTCCTCTCCTCCTCGGTCCCCGCCTGGGGTCCTCTGTCCCGAGCAGCCTGGGTGTCCCGTCGTCAACTCCCGTTTCTGTGCCCAGTTCCAGGATGCCCAACTGGGGAGGAGGCAAGAAATGCGGGGTCTGCCAGAAGACCGTGTACTTCGCCGAGGAGGTGCAGTGTGAAGGGAGCAGCTTCCACAAGTCCTGCTTCCTGTGCAGTGAGTAGGCCCAGGCCCGCGGTTGCCATGAGGATGGGAGGGGGCACCCCCAGGCCAGGCTGGGCCTGTCAGAGCCCCTGGGAGCTGGCCCCATGGGATGTAAACAGCTTGACATTTGGCTGAAGCCGCAGCTGGGGCGGGAAGCACTTAAGGGCCTCTTTGTTCCCGCGGAAGCCGCCTTCCAAGCGGACACTGGCCAGAGCCGGTGGGGGCGGCGGGCTCCAGGCCCAGAGCCAAGCTGCGAAGACTCGGTTAGGAAAGCTTTCCCCTCGCTCCCTCTCCTTTCTCTCTGTCACAGTCTGTCCTCTAAGAGCTGAAGACATGTTCAGCCTCAAGTCTCACCAGCCCGTGGGCCTCACCATCCCTTGTTCAGAGGCCCTGCAGGCTGCAAGCTTAGGAGGAGCTGAGTTTGGGCCAAGAGCCAGCTGTCCCTTCCTCCCCCTCTGGGCCGGCCCTCACCTCTGTCCTGTCCCTTCCTGATCCCACAGCCTGGGACAGGCAAAGAGGGGCCCATGTGCTTTTTAAAAATATGTTTTTATTGAATTTAGAGAGAGAGGAAGGGAGAGAGAGAGAAACATCGACGAGAGAGAAACATCATCCATCGGCTGCCTCCTGCACGCCCCTGACTGGGGATTGAGCCCCAAACCCAGGCATGTGCCCTGACCAGGAACTAAACCGGTAACCTCTCGGTGCCCAGGACAACGCTCAACCACCTGAGGCACCAGGGCCAGGCGAGCCCAAGCTCTTTAACACCCACTCCCAACAGCCCAGAATGAGACTCGCTCCGACCACAGCCTGGATGAGCGAGAACCAGGCAGCAGATGCCAAGCTGCCAGGAGACCTCAGGCCACCCAGGGACCCTGCCTCCTTGCCCTTTGCTGGCTGGTGCATGGGCCAGGCGTGTTTTCAGAGCACCCAGGAAGTGAGGACTTGGGGGGCCTCCCCAGGTTCACTGTGATCGCAGCAGAGGATCTGGGTTTGAGGAAGCGGCAATGTCCATCGATGCGTTGCCCTTGAGGGCAGGTGGAGGGGACTCAAGAATGGCCAGCGAAGCCCCAGGTTTCAGAGCCAGTCCTGTCCTCGGGGTTTGCGTGGGACTCTGTTTAATTCCAAGTGGTGATGGGCAGGTTAGTCCATGTCTCTCTGGCTGAGTTTTCTCGTTGTTTCTCGGGAGGTAACGATACTGGGTTTTGTGGAAATGAAAATGAAAGAAGTTTCGGAAACCAAGCACCTGAAGGAGGTGTGAGTGGTCAGTGTGTGACAGACACTCCTAGACACACAGCTGACACAGCGAGACAGGGTCACAATGCCCAGGGGCTGAAGACCCAGCCTGTTCTGCGTCATCCTGTGACGCATTGAGCAACGTTAGGACACCCTGTGGCGTCTTTGTCCCAGGTGATTGTGATCCAGACTGGGAACCAGCTGGGCCAGGGGCCACCTGCTCACTAGGTCTCTACCTGCTGCCTGGTGGGTCAGCAGAAGCAGCCAGCACAGGCCTCAGGGCCCACCCCTGCCCAGCCGGCTGGAACCACAGCCCACCAGCCATGGGCCGAGTCTGATGAATGGAGGGTGAGCGAGCCCTGGTGCGGCCTGCTGGCCACCGACTGGCCCACCGAGGAGCCGTAACAGCCGCATCTTATTATCAGCAACTCACTGCCCTGAGGAATTTCCTAACCGTTTATTTTTTCAGGGGGAATGAGAGAGTTTGGCATTGGCCAGGAAGAGGGTGCAGGCTGCTGGGGTCCAGTCCTCAGGGCCTCTGTGCTCTCAAATGTTGCTTAATCACTGACCAGGAGGGCCGGCTGTGGCCAAGAGCTGCCCCCCCCCCCGCCTGCAGTCCTGCCTGTAGGGGTGGCTGTGGGTCAGGCAGTGGAGGGGGGTCAGGAATTCAGGGGCCGCAGAGGAAGGAGCCAGCTGGGCTAGGGTGTGAGGTGTGGAGGGTTAGAAACAGTTGTAACAGGGCTGGGGCGGGGGGTGGGGGAGGCTATTGTGAAAGTAACAGCCATGGGGAGCGGTCTCACATCCCTGGGGTCCCTCTAGGATTGGACCTCAGGAGGTCCCAGCCTTCCAAGGCTGGCTCCTGGTGCCCGGAACGGCTCCGGGCACTTGGCCACCTGTTTGGAATGGAAGGAGCTTCGCTGTGCACTAAGAAACGTCCAGCTTGAGTTCAAGAATTCAGGGCAACCCACAGAACCAGAGGACTTTCCCTCCTAAGGAAGAGAGGCCGCAGGGTTTGGGCCTGGCTGGCGGGAAGGGCCCCTTGCTGGCCAGTCCTGAGTGCCTCCCATCCCCAGAGCTCCTCTGACCATTCTGGTCCTTGGCTCTGGATTCTGCTCAGCTCAGGGCCTACAGTCCCTTCTGGGTCTGGGACAGACAGGAAGACAGGGTGAAGCAATAGCTGGACTCAGGGAGCAGGGCCTCCGTCCGTCCTGGGCTTGGCCTTTGACCTGGGAGCAGGGACAGAGAGGCCCTGCCCTGCACCCCTGGGGTCACAGTGGGGACAGGACAGGCTAGTGCCTGTCTCTGAGCTCTGAGCTATGACAGGCTCCCTCCAGGTCTGGCCTTACCTCATGGTCGGGGCCGATGGAGGCGGCTGCTCCCAGAACCCAGAGCACAGGGAAGCTCCCAGGGGTCGCACGCCCCAGAACACCAGCGTCTCCCTGTCTCCTTACCCACAGGGTGAGGTCTGATGTCAGGTTTCACCTCTTGGTCCCACACACTTGGCCTGGCTCACAGGGGTGTGGGCTGCCAGGTCACACTGTGTTCTGGCCGGTCCCTTATGTGCCTCGGTTTTCCTTCTGGAAGCAGAGAGACCTGCTCTCGGCCTGAGTGGGGGAAGGGCGGGCCCTCACCTGTGGCTGCCTCTTTTCTGCGATTCCAATCAGCATGATAGGACTCACCCAGGCATAGCGCACCTGGAGTACAACCAATACTCAGTAATCAGCCCAAGCTGTTAACCCTAACTCTCTTTACTGCCTTAACATGATTTGGCAGAAATCAATTTAGCCCTTCATTAAAAATTCCCCTTACCTGAGCCTCTGGTGGAGCCTGCAGGTGGGCAGACTCCAGGGCGCATCCCCTGGAGGAGGTGAAGGGGCAGAAAGCCAGGATGGAGTGGGGGCTCTGGGAGAACAGAGACCCATGGGGGTCGTGACCTGGAGCCACTTTAGGCCCTGGGTCTCCTAGCTGAGCTCCCGGGACCCCTGCTGGAGAGACCCCCTCAGAAGAGACCCTCATCTCTGCTATCTGCCTGCCGGGTCTTGGAATTCCCAGTTCAATCGGGGCCTTATGGGAAGCAGTTCCCGACTTCCTGCCCTAGAAGGGAATGCTGGAGGCCTTGGCCTGTTGTTCCCTCTCCCTCCATCTGTCCGGAGCCAAGCCCCAGGGGGGCTATGGAGAGCTCCGTATTTGGGCTGCCCAGAGTGCTGGAATGAGGTGGGGATCTCAAGGGCTGGACCAGAGGGGCCTTATTTAGTCTGAAGTCTATAACCTGGGGCTCAGAGGGAGAGGGTGGCCAGTTTGCAGAGGGCTGAGCTCAGAGCCTCCTGGGAGGGAGGTGAGAGGAGGGCCGGGACAGGCGGGGCTTCCCCAGGGCAGGCTTGAGGGGTCAGTCTGTGGGGCACACTGGATCCTGATATTTAAGGAATGTCAAGAAGCCAAATTAACATCATTAGGACAAGAGCTGACAGACAAGCGAAGTTGGGCCTCTGGAGGCCTGACCTGTCCCTCCATCCCTGTGCCCCACGACACTCACTCCAGATACTAATGAGAGCAGTCAACCTCCTGGGTGCAGGTGTTGTGCTATTTACTTCCCTCGAAAGGCCTCATTTGCTTTTCACAGCCACCTTTTGGGGAAGATATTTCCATTTCTGGGCTCAGTGTCACTTGCAAATGCAGATAAGAATAACTTGCCCCAGGTCGAGGTCACTGCAAAGCGGGAGAGCCGGGATCTGACCCTGGCTGAGGCTGCAGGACCCTAGGCTCTGAGCCGCCCTGTTCTGCGAGGCTGGGCACAGCTCCCCTCTGGCATAAACAGGAAGGTACCCAGGCCCACCAGTTTTCTAAAGTTCCCCCCATTCCGATCTCTTAGCCCAGTAGGTGGGCATTCTCCCCGGGTCTGAGCCCGGTTCCCCCTCCCCCGCCCCCCCACGGGGATCCACGCTGAGACTGGGAACTTCAAATGCTGCTGGCAAATCCTGCGTCTCATCTCCAAGCCTGCCAGCTGGGTGCCTGATAAACACTAACTTCCCTTCTGGGCTCACTGCCTCACCTGAACCCTCCCCCCAAGCCTACACCGAGTGTCCCTTCTGGCCCCCGTTGCTGGGAGCCTGCCCTCCTCTGCCTTCCTTTCTTTTCCCCCCCCCTCTGGTCCGGACACGTGGTCTCTCTCCGGGGCAGAGTGGAGGCCTCAGCGGGCTTCCTGGGGCCCGGGTCAGCCGAGGTTGCTGCCTCCGACCCCTGCGTGCACTGCTGTCTGGGCATCCTGAGGGGGCGGAGGCCTCCGAGGCACGCGGGCTCCCGGGAGAGGTGGCTTGGCCGGCATCCCCGGCGTTGGGACATGCAGACTCCCTCCCTGTCACCTCCCAGCTCGGGGCCACCCCGACCTGCTTTTCCAGGCTGTTCCTCAAAGGTCACGGTGGCAGGTGTGACGCGTGCTCGGGGAGCCTCTGTGTGTCCCTGTGCCCACTCACGGGCTCTTGTGCCCCTCCCCCCGCCCCCGCAGTGGTCTGCAAGAAGAACCTGGACAGCACAACCGTGGCCGTGCACGGTGAGGAGATCTACTGCAGGTCCTGCTACGGCAAGAAGTACGGGCCCAAGGGCTACGGCTACGGACAGGGCGCCGGCACTCTGAGCACAGACAAGGGGGAGTCGCTGGGCATCCGGCATGAGGAGTAAGTACCAGAGCTCCCCCACCCCCAGCTCCACCAGACACTCTCGACCGCTTCTGGTTAAGCGGCGACAGCTCAGAAAACCTATTTCCAAGGTCATCGCGGGGCCCCCACTCAGTGCCAGGCCCATCGGAGAAGCTGGGGTCCCAGGGGAACCAACAGGCATAGTGGCAGGTCAGAGCGGAGAGGACCCCAAAGCTGACTTGGTTCCCTGTCCCCTTTCCACGGACAAGAAAACTCAGCCCAGTGCCCGTGACTTGTCGGTTCCCCTGCCAGCGAGTGTCTGAGCCAGACCAGCCTCTGCCACCTGTCACCTCTGTCGTCCCTTCCTTGGAAATGCTACAGGGTGTCACTAGGGCCCTGGCACCCACTGACCCCTGACCTGCTGTAAACAGGGCTGTCAGCAGTCACCCTGGCCGGCTCCTTGGCCCAGGGGGATGGACGGAAACGACTGACAGATGAGCTACCACATGCCAGCCATGGTCATGGCCCAGGGGAAATGACTGGTCAGCAGATTTGTCCTGGAAACAATCTGATAATAGTCTGCAGGAATGTGGGAGAGGAGGGCAGTGCTTAGCAATGAGGTGTGAGACGATTCCAGCATGTAACCAGGCGACTGAGGGCCATAGGGTATTTCCAGGGAAGTGACACTGTGGGGAGTCTGGGTTTCTCCATCTCTGAAATGGGAGACCACCCAAGAGTTCCTGGTAGCCCTGGTCCTATAACTGGCTCGGAAAGCTGCCCGCTGCCCCCGTTGTGAGATGAAGGTGGGGTCGTGCCCACCCGATCCGGCCCCATCGTATTTTCAGTGTGAGCCACGTCCGTCCCCTTTTCCTCGCGCAGGGCCCCTGGCCACAGGCCCACCACCAACCCCAACGCATCCAAGTTTGCCCAGAAGATCGGCGGCTCCGAGCGCTGTCCCCGCTGTGGCCAGGCCGTCTACGCCGCCGAGAAGGTGATCGGTGCGGGCAAGGTAAGGCGGCCGCGGGCGTCCCGGGAGAGGGGAGGGTGTGGGCCGGCGACATACCTTCCTGACACATGGGCTCCAGGACTTGGCCCGTCTGGCCTTTCCCTTTAGTTGTGTGACTCGGGGAAACCACGTCACCTTCCTGAGCCTCGGGTCCACATCTGTCAAGTAGAGGACACGATGGACCCTGACAAAGAAAGTGGTTTAAAAGGTTAAATGAGGTAACGTACAAATACCACCCAGGGCAGCGCCTGGGGTCCGCCGCTGGTATTGTCCTTGTTTACTGTTGGGGGTGGCCGTGAGGTCAGGAGGAAGATCCCTGCCGTTGATTAGATGATATGAAAACAGGAGACAGTAACAGGATTAAGTTGGTGCTTTTTCTGCGACTCACTGTGAGAATAGGAAATTATTATGAAAAGTTCCCTGCCGGTGTGGCCCAGTGGTTGAGCCACAACCCATGAACCAGGAGGTCACCAGCTCGATTCCTGGTCAGAGCACATACCTGGGCTGTGGGCTCTAATAAAAAAAAATTTTTTTAAAAAGAAAACATTTTTTTTTTTTTTAAAGAAGCAATAGAGCTTCTTAAAAAGAAAGAAAGAAAATGATGAAAAGTGGCTAAGAATCGATTCTTCCATGACCTAGGCAGTGGGGCCTGAGCTAGACTCAAGGCTGCTCTGCGGAGGAGTCTCCTTCCCCAGCCTGGAGAGCTCAGGCAGGGCGCTGGGGACTGGGGGCTGGGCCCCCCCTCTGGTCTCTGGGAGGAGAGAGCGTGCAGAGGTCTGGCGGCCAGGAAATCCCAGGAGGTCCAGTTTTGTTTCTCGCTCTTCATCCCGGGATGGGGGGCTGTGCTGAGGGAGGCTCTTTGCCCTTAAAAGGCCTGGTTCTGTCGGCCTGGGTGCCGCCTGCCTCTTTCAGGGCTGTCTACACCTCTCAACCCCTGAGCTTGCGCAGCTGTTACCTCCGGAGCTGGTCTCTCAGAGGTCTTCCTGCCCGAGCCACTCCGTCCCGGGGTGCAAACCTGGGNAGGTCTTCCTGCCCGAGCCACTCCATCCCGGGGTGCAAACCTGGGCCAGTGCCGTCCCCGCCAGGCTGCTACCCCTGTGGGGCCTCCGAGCTCCTCCTAGGTCCGCCAGGGCCTCCTGCAGCCCCTGGGGAAGCTGCACTCGGGCCTTTTCCTGCTGAGTTCAGAGCACTTCACAGACCCATCTCCTTCCCAAGTAATACCAGACACCACTGGCCCGGGGCTCCCCCGGGCGGGCTAGGCCTGTCCCAGGCACTGTCCACTGCGAAAGTCATGTAGTCCTCAGAGCTGCCTGGTGAGGGCAGGGCCACCAGCCCCCTCTCCAAGAGGTGAGGGCCTTTGGGCGAACGAGGCACCCATTTCTAAAGTTCAGGGGCTGGGCTGCCTCAGGAGAGTCCCCATGACAAAAGTGTGCCTTGGCCAGGCAGCATCCGTGTATCTAGTTCCCATGTCCATTCTGCAAGGTGGGCGGAGAGGCCCCTGGAGGAGAAAGTGGCTGAGGCTGTGCAGCTGGTAAGGGCTAGGGCTGGGGCAAGCCCATGCCCACACCACTGACCCCATGGGTCTGGAGAAGGCTTGACCCACGGCACCTATGAAGCACAGCTACCTGGGCGGTGACCCTACCCCCTGGCCTGTTGCTTGTGGTTCAGCTGGCGCCACTGACCACCCGGCCCCTTGAGGTGATGTGAGGTGGTGTGAGGTCCTGGCTTGCACCTCCCCGGCCCGGCCCCAGGGCCACATCTCCCCAGGAGCCTCTGCTGAGCAGCCCTCTATGTCATTATGTCAGGGGGCTGGGGGCAGGGGACACCCTAGTCCCTGGTGGCAGCATTAACTGTTCCCTTCCCATACAGTCCTGGCATAAGTCCTGCTTCCGATGTGCCAAGTGTGGCAAAGGCCTGGAGTCCACCACCCTGGCCGACAAGGATGGCGAGATTTACTGCAAAGGTGGGTGGGCCACTTCCAGCCCCGGGGTCAGGCGGCCCAGGGGTGGGGACCGAGCGATGACGCCCTGGTTGTGTAAACCTGTTCCTGGCCTCGGGGTCAGGTCCAGAACATTGGTACACCCTTCACTTTACAGAGGGGACAAGCCCAGAGGGAGACAGTGACATGGCCGGAGTCACATGGCAGATGGGGGGACAGGCTGGGCGGGCCAAATGGATCCCTGAATCTGGTCCTGGGCTGTCACCGCAGACAGTGCCTCTGTCAACTCTGCAGTGGGAGATGGACAGGGTGGGGCCAGGACCCTTCTTACAGTTGGGCTTGGGGTGCTGCAGAAGGGAGGGGACCTGGGATAGGACAGCACTACTGCGGAGGCCTGGTCAGGCCTTAGGAGCGGTGTGTCTACAGCGGGGTCAGGAAGGGGTGGCCTGGGGGCGGAGTGTCTCACCTGCCTCTTCTCTCTGCAGGATGCTATGCCAAAAACTTTGGGCCCAAGGGCTTTGGCTTCGGACAAGGGGCAGGGGCCTTGGTCCACTCGGAGTAAGGCCGCCTACAGCATCCCCACCCACGTGCCATCTCCACCACCCCCTCCCCGCAGCCTCGGCCACCTCCGGACGCCTCTCCTCAGCCCTTGGTTCAGGCCCCCTTTGGAGTCTGCCTGAGGTCCCCCTCTCAGGAGCTCCCCCTGCCTGGGGTCTGCCTCCGTCACCTGCAGGAGTCTCTGTGGCTTTAGTCTCCCCACACCAACCCCACAGGCCCCGGCTCTTAGCCTCCTAGGCTGAGCGTCCACCATCATCTGGCCAAGACCCTGAGCCCACATCTCAGAGCCCAGAGGGGAGGCTGCCGTTTACTGACCCGAGTTTCTTCTCTGTGGGAAAGAGGGTGGGCTGCTTGGTATCGCTCAGAAAGGACTGGGGAGTCCCCCCAGCTCGGCAGCCACAGGGGGGGGAAGGAAGGGGACAGAGAGGCATGAGATGGGGTCCTGGTCTGCAGGAGACACCTGTTCGTCTGGGTCATGACCTTTGAGGCCGTGACCTTTGAGGCTGTGGTGAGCTGGTGTCCTCCCCTCGGGGTGGGAGAACACCCAGGTCTGAGAACCCGAGTCTGGATGTCGTCTGACCTCCCCAGCATCCACTTCCCTGTGTGATGGGGGCCCCCATGAAACACCCAAACACACACTTCTGTTATCAGAGGCCCAAACCTGAGGGGAGACGACTCTGGCAGTGGGGTCCCCAGGCTGCAGCGATAACGGCTCCCCTGTCCCCACATGCCCAGCCCAGGGCTCTGCTGCTGCGCCCGCTTGGCCCTCGGATGGGAGGCACACAACTCAGTCTTCATCTGGACACCCCTCCCCTCTGCACCCAGAGCTCAGGACCCTCCTGCCCCTGCCACCCACCCTTTCCCAGGACCTTCTCTGGCCACGTCCCCCCCATCCCTCCCAGGCCCCCAGGTCAGGAGCAGCAGGAACAAGGGGGTGGGGGTGGTCTCACTGCTCCCAGGAACAGAAAGGACAAGACAGAGCTGTGGCCCGGGAGGGGGCTGCTCAGGCTGTTTTCAAGCTCATCCCTCACTTGGTCAATAAAAGCTGATAGAACAGAGCTCTGGTGTCCATCTGTGTCACTTCCACGGCCTGGGGCCGGGAGGGAGCCGGACTGGAGACTCCCATGAGGTCCATGGGAATGGAGTGATCTGTCCTGGCTCTATTGCAAGAACCTGTCTCGCCGAACCCCACATCTGGGCATGGAATTTAGCGCACTTTGGAATTTGAGAGGCTCAGCAAGGCCCCAAAACTGTGCTCAGAACTTCCCTTGGCTGGAAAGCCCCAGAATGAGAGGGGAACTCAGCCATGGGAACTTCCCCGTGGAACTCAGAGAGCTCCCTCTGCCCAGGGTGGAGTGGCGGGCCTGGCTCAGCCCGGCGCTGTGAGGGCCCTGCCTTCCTCCGTTCAGCCTGCTCCAACAAAACACCACGGACGGGGTGGCCGATAAAGAATAGAAATTTCACGGCCGGCGTGGCTCAGTGGTTGAGCACTGTCCCATGCACCAAGAGGTCTCCGGTTTGATTCCAAGTCAGGGCATATGCCTGGGATGCAGACTCAATCCCCAGAAGGGGCCATGCAGGAGGAAGCCTATTGATGTTTCTCTCTCACCAGTGTTTCTATTCCTCTCTCCCTCTCCCTTCCTCTCTCTCTAAAATCAATAAAAACATATTTTAAAAAAACAAACCACAATAAGCAGATGCTGTAACAGCAACAAACCTAGTGAGCCTCACAACCAGATGACCAGATCCAACCACGGCCTTGACAGACCCCCTCCTTGATTCTGGGTATGGGATCTAACCGTGTGTGGGACCAATCAATACTTTAGAACCAGATGCATGTGCCAGGTGACAGGTAGCAGAGCTGTGGTGGTTTAGAGGAGCGTGCTGTCCAGGGCTGCGGGTTCCAGGAGCGCCAAGGTCTCTAGGTCCAGCCCAGGCTGTGGCCAACCGAAAGAGGCTGGCCAGGGGCTATGGTCTTTGGGAAGGGTTTGTGCGTCAGGGAGAAGGGATGGATGTTTACACACACGCACACACACACACACACACCTAGACCATCTTCCTCCTCTGGGAGAGGCCCACAGGAGAGGCCAGAATGGGAGTTTGGGGCCCAAAATTGGGGACAGGCTGCCCTCTGCTGGCTGCTTGGGTGGGTCTCTGCTCTCCAGCGCAAGGCCATCCGCCTGCCTCTTCCAGAACAGCCCCATTGTGGGGAGGGGGCTGGACGCACCTCCTTGGAGCGAAACCCTGGGGCAGTCAGGGGCGCGGGCCAGTGTAGTGGGGCAGCGGGCCGGAGGAGCCCTGGAGAAGGGAGGGCCGCCTGGGGGTGGTACCTTGCAGGGAGGAGGACCCGCCGGCAGGTGGCGCTGTGGAGCCAGGGCAGGAGGCTCCCGGCCAGGTCAGCGCGTCCCTCCCGCTCTCCGCCCCCGTGCGCGCTGCGCGCGCGGTGCTCACCTGGAATCCCAGGTGACGGCTTCTCCCTCGGAGGGGTTCCCGCTAACCAGCCTGCAGCAGACCACGCCACGTAGTGACCCAAAGGCAGGGAGTCGGGATCTCAGTGTCCGTCCAGGCATTTCCTTCCTTGGTTCTCTCATCTCCGAGCTGGGCGCCGGGATGCGCAGTGGGCGGGAGTGGCTGTTCTTTGCGCTCCGCTCCGAGGAAGCTGCGATGGGATGCAGCTGTGGTCCTGATGGGAGGCCAATTTCAGGAGAGCCCCTCCTCCCAGAGCCCTAGCAACTTATTTGGGTCACCTGAGGGCTGAGGGACCAACGAGGGGTGAGGCTGGGAGGAAGGAGAGAGAGAGGGAAGTTAGCTGCTGTTAGGTGTGGGAGTTAATTAATCCCTGAACAGGGCACGGAAATACTGTGGGAGGGACGGACACATGGACCAGGTGAGCCAAGCAGGGGAAGAACCCTCAGGGATAAACTGCTGGATGGTGCCCTGCCTTCCCTGCCCCTGGTCCCTCCTCCAATTCCCCCAATTATGAGAATCACTTGGGGAGCCTTTTACAGTGGATTCCGGGCCCCACCCCCTGGAGGCTCTGATTCAGTGGGCCTGGGAATCTGCATTTGCAGAGCCCCTCAGGTGATTCTGACACTCAGGCTCAGCCAGGCTTGAGGACCAGGGGAGTCCAGCCCCAGCTCCATCCTGCAGCCCACAGCCCTGTGGGTAGGTGACCGCTCAGCTGCCCTGAGTTTGGCGCCCCACCCGGCAGCTGGGCTCTGCACGATTTCAATGATTAGAGAGGACTTCCTATTTCTGTCTCTGAGAGCCACCCAGAGCAGGTCTAATCTCCGTCCTGTGACAGCTGCCTGTCGGCTCAAGTCTGCCCCTCTCCAGGGCAAACACCCTGGCCACTCAGTGGTTCCTGATAGAGGCTGGGAGAAGCCACTTCATCAGCTGAGAAAGAAAATCCCAGCAGGACTTGGGGCTGTGCAGGGGCCAGAGGAGCAGCCTGGGGACTTGCAGTAAACAGGTCAGTGGGCAGAGCAGAGTGGCTCCCTCTGAGAAAGACCCTCTCCTGCCGGGCTGGCTCCCTCCACCCAAGCCTGAGCCTCCCTCTTCTGGACGTTTTGGGAGCATCATTACCCATCTCCTGCACTCACTATGTGCCTCAGCCTATTCGGGGACCATAAATGTATTAAGTCACTGAATCCTCACAATAACCCTGTCACCACACCCATCACAAATGATCAAACCAAAGGACAATTTCCGAACCAGCTTAATGTCAAATGGCAGGAGCAGGATAGACATGCAGGCAGCTGGGTCCAGGTCCCAGTCCTGCACCGCTGTACTGTACCTGAGTCTTCTTTAGAAGAACCCGTGGGCCGAGAGGTAGGAGGAGTTGTGCTAGGTCCATAGCAGTAGCCAGCATGCGTCGAGCACACACTGTGCACTGGCACTAATCTACATGCTGTCTTATTTGAGTCCTACATCAGCAGTATGAAGCGGATATACCATCCCTTTATCACAGAAGAGGAAACTGAGACCTGTTGAGTTTTCAGGTGACTTAGTCAAAATCACTGGCAAGCAGAGGAGCCAGCGCTGGAACCAGCTGTGTGACTTTGGGCCAGCCTCCTCCCCTCTGGGTTTCAACCGCTCCTGTGTGAACCGAGGATGTTGGCCTCAATTAAACGCCAGAGGAGTGCTTCCGAGGTGACAATGTTCGGGGAGCCTCCCGGGACCTTGTGAAAATGAAGATACCTTTCGGGTGCTTGGGGTGGGGCCTGAGACCCAGCATCTCTCACCGGCTCCCAGGGGAAGGTGGTGCTGATGCTGTGGCCCTGGCCACACTCTGGGGACCCGCCCAACTCTCACATTCTGGGTTTATGGGCCTGGGAAGACTCGCCCCAGAGGCCAGGAAAATTCAGGAAGCAGGTCATCTGAATAAAGCCCTTCATGGGCATTTTCATGCCTGGACAAGCCCTGCTGCCTTTTCCAAAGCTCCTACCCCTGAGCCTTCTGCGTCTCCTCTCTGCTGACCTCAGCCTGACTACTCCAGAGGGTTTGTGGGCTTGGTCCTGGCCTCCTGGGGACACCCACAGGTCCCCACAGGCTGCACTGCTAGTTCTGTAGGGATGGTCACTCATGTGCCCCCTCTGGGTCACACGTCTCTTCCTCCCTTGAAGTGAGATGTGGCCCCGTGGCTTGCTCTGGCCTCTGAATTGAGGTGAGAAGTGTCCCTTGTGGGCAAAAGTCTTTAAGGGCCCTGGTGTAAGTTATCTGTCCCCAAGAGTATCATTCGCCCCTCGCGAGCACTTACTACGTGTCGCAGACTAATTGAAGACCTTAAATGTATGAATGCCATTGGTCCTCAGTCCCCCTGTGCGGTGGGCCACTGCCGTGCCCATTTGCAATGGTCTGCACACCTCGCCTTGCCCCCCCCAGCCCTGTCAGCGTGTGGGACGAGTGGACAACCTTCGCTGGGTTCAGCCTGTGGGATTTGGGGGAGTTTGTTGGTGGAGCAGGACCGAGCCTATCCTGATACATACACGCACCGGTATGAGCAGTGACGTGGGGATGTCACCTTAGGCAGCTGTGTCTGATCCTGGGGGACGTGTTTCTGCAAAGCCAAGATTGTGGCCTGTGAAACGTTCACTCTGAGATCTTCTTTAGTAGGAGGGAGCTCCCGGAGGACAGGAATGCCACCTCCCCATCTGGCCAGTTCCCACTAAAAAGAGAACCATGTCCCCAGTGCCCAGAGCCTGGGTCCAGTTTGCTCTGCTATTGCTGCCAGGTGGGTTAAGGTCACACATCCCCTGAGCATCAGCCAGTCTTCTTCTGATGTCCCTGCCCCTCAGCCCAGCGTCCCCGAGGACAAGGGTCATGCCAGGGAGGCCCCTTTGCTCCTGCAGCAAGAGCGCCCAGATGCCAGCATGATCTGGGAAAAGGGGAAATTCTGCAGGCCCCAACCTGAACCCTGAGCCCACAAGTCCAGTCCCTGCCAGACCCAAGCTGGGATCAAATGTCATCAAGCCCAGACTCGGCCCCATCAGAGAGGGGGCAGTGGGCGCCCTGGAGACGAAAGGGATCCCTGGTGAATCAGGAAAGTTATTGGCCTGGAAAGTGATTAAAGAGCTGAGCGTGGGAGGGGATTTCCACCGAGAGGGCCAGGCCCAGGAGCAAGCCTGGGCGGGTTGGCCTCGGGGTGCTGCCCACTCGAGGTCTGTTGCAACGGTGCCCATAAAACCCAGATCCTCAGAGCCTTGAGACATTGATCGGTTTCTTCTGTTTCCCTCTGAGGATACCCACAGCTCTGGGACCGAGGGCTCCACATCAAAGGGCTGGGGCGGGTCAGGAGTAGTCGGAGGGAGAGGTCAGCTGGGGGCGTCTCCCAAGGAGAGGAGGGGGAGACCTGAGGGCTGGAGGGTGCGTGCAGAAGCCCAGAGGGGGGAGCACAGCTGGAAGGAGACCCGTGTTCCTGTCATGTCTGGGTGGGGAGGAGCTACTTGACCCGATGAATCCGGGAACTTGGGTCAGGCTGAGGCGGGAACAGCAACAACCTTCTTGTCTTACCTGAAGGAGGGACCCCTGACGTGGACGGTCCTTAGCCCCCATAAACCAGCCAGCCTTGCAAATTTAATACGGGCCAGACAGCTACATTTTAAGGTCAAGGGCACTGAGGTCAGAGAGGGGGAGCCTCAGAGCTGGGTTATGACACAGGTGTCCTTCCTCAGTGCTCCTTCCCCTACACTAGGTCCCCACACCTTCCGCGGATCAGCATGACCCAGCGGGCTTGGTAAAGCCCAGCGGGCTGGGCCCCAAATCCAGAGTTTCTGATTGGCGGGTCTGGGCGGGGATGGGGGTGTGGGGCTTAAAAGGTGCATTTCTAACAGGGACCCCGTGATGAGGCTGCTGGGGGACTCTGAGGAGCCCTGCTCTGGGCCCTCCCTGCCCAAAGTGTGTTCCATGTTCCAGCAGCACCAGCATCACATGGAAGCTTCTAGAAAGGCAGAATCTGAGGTCCCGCCCCAGACCTACTCAATGAGAACCTGCATTTACCGCCTGAGAAGCACCCCATGCCTGTTCCCCATGGGGACTCAGACCCTGGCAGCGTGGGTGACAGAGGACAGGCGTTGAATGCAAGGCGGGTCCCGTAGGGTGACCACTAAGTGGAGTTTATAACGAGACTTCTAGGAAGCTGTGTTACTTTCTGTGCCCATTCGGGTCGCCCCATTCCCGTTTTTTCTTCCCACCCTGTCCTGGGAGGCCACCCGAGGGGACCCAGGCTCCCTCCTCTACACGGGGGATGGTTCAGACCTCGCCAGAGCGTCCCTGGCACACGGTTCCCGGGCTGTTGTGCAATGCAGCCGTTCCAGCTGGACCCAGATGGACAGACAGGGTAGATCGCCTTTCCTCCAGGGTGGGCAGGAGGAGCCCGCTCTGGGCTGCAACCAGGGGACATTCCGTCCAGCAGCCCCGTGTGCAGTCAACAAGTCAATAAGAATTGAGTGTCTCTGGGGCCCAGCACTGCCCCAGCCGAGTGCTCCCCAAAAGGCTAAGTTAGAGCTCCCCTCCGGGGGGGGGGGCAGGGATACCCCAGCAGGGAGGGAGCACCAGCCCCCTGCATCCTGCTCCCCCTGGGTCCCAAAGTCTTCTAGATTCTTCTCATGGCCCAAGTAATCCACCTTGGGCCTGAGCCTCTCCCAGATGGGGAAAGTGAGTCATCAGCCCTAGTCCCAGGAGGTCATGAGGCTGGAGGACAGGACTCCCAGGCTCCAAGGACCCGCACAGGCCAGTGTGGTGTCATCAGCAGAGGCTGGGTGCTCTTGGCCACCCCACCTTCCCACCCCAGCTTTGCCACTGGCAGAGCTGTGTGACCGTATCTAGGTTGGTTGACTTCTCTGAGTCTCATTTTCCTCTTCAGTAAAATAACACCGATCAGTCATGAGAACCAAACACCTGTGACAGGGCTCTGTGACCTCGCAAAAGCCAGAGCGATTGTGAATTAACCTGGAGCAGGAGGGAGCCTCAGGAGTCCCAGGCCCAGGGATGGGAGAGCAGCGAGTAACAGAGATGAAACTTTGGGTCATAGCGGGACTGTCCCCGGCTGGGGCACTCAGTGGACTCCTGTGGAGGGATGGGGTGGGGTGGGGGCTAGGAGAGGAGCCGCAGGAGGGCAGTGTTGGCAGATGGCTGACACCTGGGGGGGTCCCTAAGTCATGGCTGTGGGCACCTTGAACCCCTCCACTGCAGCCCTCTGGGCCTGAGGGGACACCCGCCTTGGCTCCCTCCTTTCTCTCACGGTGTCGCCCACCCTCTCCCTGGGCAGGGGTGGGAAGGTCCCGATCTCTCGTGTGGGGGTGCCTCTGCCTCTCCAGGGCTGAAGAACTGTGATAGGACACTGACAGCCCCCCACCTCCTGGGTGGGGTACTGCACCCCCTTCCACACTGGACCCTCCTGGTGCCCGTTAGGCTCTGTCTCACTGGGCAGGGGGGTGGAAACCTGGGGTGTGGGTATAAAGAGGCCTGATTACTGTCATTACTACATATCATTATTTCCATAATCGTCTGTTATTAACACATCAATGACTAGGCCCTTAGGACATGGGAGGGCCTGGAGGAGCTCATCAGATGGGGCAGAGTGGCCACCTTCCAGGGCTGGGCCTTATCTCAGGGTCCCCATCCTCTAAGGCAGTGGAAGTTGGGGTGCGGGGGGGGAATCCCATTTGTGGAGACTCTGGGAGCTGCCAGGCCCTGTCGCAGGCCTTCCGAAAATGTTACCCATCAGAATCTACGGGATAGAATAAATCTATCCCCCCCTTTGACTTTTGCGGAAATTGGAGGGTAGTGACCCTGCCCTGGGCAGGCGGGAGGGACACACAGTGAGGGGCAGGGCTGAGGTCTGAGCCCAGCTCTGCAAAGCTCCTGTCTTCACACAGCACTAAGGCAGGACAGGGAGGGAACCCCTCCCCCGAGGCCCCTGGAAGCTCAGTCCAGGGAGAAGGCCCTTCTCTTAGGAGGGGAAGCAGAGCCCGGGGGCACTCCCGGTGTGTGCCGAAGCCGAGGAATGCAGGCTGGGACATCTCCAGGTCAAGGGGAGGCCGAGTGGCCTCCAGGTTCCTCTCCTCGGTTCACTTTGGCTCCCCTCTGCCAGGCTCCCCCCTAGGGATGGGGGTGGGAGGAGGGCTGGGTCTTCCCAACAGAGACAGCTGCGGGCAGCCTCTCCAGGGCCCTGCACCAGGGGGGGAGGAACCCAACGCGCCTGGAGTCCCATTCCTGCCCCTGACCCCAGGATCCTGCTTATGTTTCTGATTGCACAACGCCAAGGGGGAGCTGGCAGAGTTAGGAAAGAGGG